GAACCCCATCAAGCAGGAACCCCATCAAGCAGGAACACCCATCAAGCAGGAACACCCATCAAGCAGGAACCCCATCAAGCAGGAACCCCATCAAGCAGGAACACCCATCAAGCAGGAACCCCATCAAGCAGGAACACCCATCAAGCAGGAACCCCATCAAGCAGGAACACCCATCAAGCAGGAACACCCATCAAGCAGGAACCCCATCAAGCAGGAACACCCATCAAGCATGAACACCCATCAAGCAGGAACACCCATCAAGCAGGAACACCCATCAAGCAGGAGCCCCATCAAGCAGGTGTGGTTGTGAGGGGGTTGTGTGGATGGGGGAGGGAGGAAGGGAGGGGTGGTACACAAAAAAGGTCAAGCATCATGGTGCACTCTCCTCGCTGAGTCGACCTTTGGGGGAAATAACGCTGGCGACCTCTGCCTTACCGGGAGCTGCCTTACTAGTGGCTCTATCCTCTTTGCAATTTACTGTTTACATATTTACAAATACTAGTTTAAGAGTCCCCCTAAAGCCACTACGAGGCTTTATATAACAATACTAATCTCGGGTTTGCGACGGTTCGAAACCCCGCAGATAAAAAAGTGAGTAATTATCCGCTACGATTGAGCAAAGATGTACCCTCTATCCACTTTGTAATTCACTGTTTACTTATTTACACATAATAGTTTAAAAGTCCCCCAAGCACTACGAGGCTTTATATAACAATACTAATCTCGGGTTTGCGACGGTTCGAAACCCCGCAGATAAAAAAAGTGAGTAATTAGCCGCCACGATTGAGCAAAGATGTACAGGTTTCGCAAGCGAACACGTAAATGCCTGATGAATCCTGAGCCCCCTCATTTCCTGTGTGCTAAAGAGGGGTCCTCACGCCAACAGGACAGGGCGTACGAAGGTGGCTACTGAACTTCAACTGGCACAAATGCAAAGGTATGAGGCGATGCTGGCCACATATATTAGTAAAATAACGTCAGAGGAATATGTCAATGATGGCCACATCAGGGTAGCCTTCACTAACGTGGACATAGAGAACTTTCAGAGTTACATATACAACCTTTGTAATACTAATAATAATAATGATGATGATAACAATAATCTTCTTATTTATTTATTTATTATTTATTTATTTATTTTTGAGATATATACAAGAGTTGTTACATTCTTGTAGAGCCACTAGTACGCGTAGCGTTTCGGGCAGGTCCCTGGAATACGATCCCCGCCGCGAAGAATCGTTGTTACAACCAAGTACACATTTTACTGTTGAGTTAAACAGAGGCTACAGTTACGGAATTGCGGCCTTCACAATACAATTCTAAAAAAAGAATTCCCACAGATTAAAACAAAACAAAACAAAATGTTCCACGGTATAAATAAGAGAGTCTAAAAGACACAATTAAAATGACAAAGATGTCAGACATTAATATTGAGGAAGACAGCTGTCGATAAGTCACGCGATTAAGGAAAACTTTATCCTTAATTGCGAATCTACATATGATAAGACGAGAATTTAAGATAGAACGCAACCATGGAAAGTCTGCGTTTTAGACGCGGCCAATAGACCAAGCCGGGACCATAGAGCCGAAGCTCAACCTCCCCCCGGAAGCACGGTTAGGTAGCTACACAGGCTATCAACCTTTCCTCACGACCTCAGAAAGCCAAATATAGACCCGGCCAGATATGCGTTTCTGGCTGCTAGAGATTTGCATCAATGGAGGGAAATACGAGCTGTGGTAGTGGGTAAAGTCGACCGTGTGTGGGGAGGCCTCAGAGGTCAGAGTTCCCTGCCGCTACGTTACACTTTTTTCTTTTTTTTCTTTTTTTTTTAAAGCACGTTGTCAGGTCTGGGATTCATAGGATGGTGGAGGGGTCAATATGGTGTGTGTGTGTGTGTGTGTGTGTGTGTGTGTGTGTGTGTGTGTGTGTGTGTGTGTGTGTGTGTGTGTGTGTGTGTGTGTGTGTGTGTGTCTGAGAGTGAATGAGAATGAATGAGAATGACATTCAACAAAAGGAAGACTTGGGGGGTTGAAATAAAGCAAGAGTTTCATTCATTCACGCGAGGGCCTGACAGCTGAGTGGACAGCGCTTCGCATTCGTAGTCCTGAGATTCCGGGTTCGATCCCCGGCGGTGGCGGAAACCAAAATAGGCAGTTTCTTTCACTCTGATCCCCCTGTTACCTAGCAGTAAATAGGTACTTGGGAGTTAGACAGCTGCTACGGGCTGCCTCCTGGGGGGTGTGTAACAAAAAGGACGCCTGGTCGAGGACCGGGCCGCGGGGACGCTAAAACCCGAAATCATCTTAAGATAACTTCAAGATGTGTGGTGGATGTGCTCGCTTACACACTGCTTACCTATCAGAGCTTGTCCAACATTGCTTACCTAACAGACCTTGTCCAACAGAGTTTACCTAACAGAGCTTGTCCAACACTGCCTACCTAACAGAGCTTGTCCAACACTGCCTTCCTAACAGAGCTTGTCCAACACTGCCTACCTAATAGAGCTTGTCCAACACTGCCTTCCTAACAGAGCTTGTCCAACACTGCCTTCCTAACAGAGCTTGTCCAACACTGCCTACCTAATAGAGCTTGTCCAACACTGCCTTCCTAACAGAGCTTGTCCAACACTGCCTACCTAATAGAGCTTGTCCAACACTGCCTTCCTAACAGAGCTTGTCCAACAGAGCCTACCTAACAGAGCTTGTCCAACACTGCCTTCCTAACAGAGCTTGTCCAACACTGCCTACCTAATAGAGCTTGTCCAACACTGCCTTCCTAACAGAGCTTGTCCAACACTGCCTACCTAATAGAGCTTGTCCAACACTGCCTTCCTAACAGAGCTTGTCCAACACTGCCTTCCTAACAGAGCTTGTCCAACAGAGCCTACCTAACAGAGCTTGTCCAACAGAGCCTACCTAACAGAGCTTGTCCAACACTGCCTTCCTAACAGAGCTTGTCCAACACTGCCTACCTAACAGAGCTTGTCCAACAGAGCCTACCTATCAGAGCTTGTCCAACATTGCTTACCTAACAGACCTTGTCCAACAGAGTTTACCTAACAGAGCTTGTCCAACACTGCCTACCTAATAGAGCTTGTCCAACACTGCCTTCCTAACAGAGCTTGTCCAACACTGCCTTCCTAACAGAGCTTGTCCAACACTGCCTACCTAACAGAGCTTGTCCAACACTGCCTTCCTAACAGAGCTTGTCCAACAGAGCCTACCTAACAGAGCTTGTCCAACACTGCCTTCCTAACAGAGCTTGTCCAACACTGCCTACCTAACAGAGCTTGTCCAACACTGCCTACCTAACAGAGCTTGTCCAACACTGCCTTCCTAACAGAGCTTGTCCAACACTGCCTACCTAACAGAGCTTGTCCAACACTGCCTACCTAGCAGAGCTTGTCCAACAGAGCCTACCTAACAGAGCTTGTCCAACACTGCCTACCTAACAGAGCTTGTCCAACACTGCCTACCTAACAGAGCTTGTCCAACAGAGCCTACCTAACAGAGCTTGTCCAACACTGCCTACCTAACAGAGCTTGTCCAACAGAGCCTACCTAACAGAGCTTGTCCAACACTGCCTACCTAACAGAGCTTGTCCAACAGAGCCTACCTAACAGAGCTTGTCCAACAGAGCCTACCTAACAGAGCTTGTCCAACAGAGCCTACCTAACAGAGCTTGTCCAACAGAGCCTACCTAACAGAGCTTGTCCAACAGAGCCTACCTAACAGAGCTTGTCCAACACTGCCTCCCTAACAGAGCTTGTCCAACAGAGCCTACCTAACAGAGCTTGTCCAACACTGCCTACCTAACAGAGCTTGTCCAACAGAGCCTACCTAACAGAGCTTGTCCAACACTGCCTACCTAACAGAGCTTGTCCAACAGAGCCTACCTAACAGAGCTTGTCCAACAGAGCCTACCTAACAGAGCTTGTCCAACAGAGCCTACCTAACAGAGCTTGTCCAACAGAGCCTACCTAACAGAGCTTGTCCAACAGAGCCTACCTAACAGAGCTTGTCCAACACTGCCTACCTAACAGAGCTTGTCCAACAGAGCCTACCTAACAGAGCTTGTCCAACAGAGCCTACCTAACAGAGCTTGTCCAACAGAGCTTGCTAGTCACGGGTGTGAGTGAGTGAGTGAGTGAGTGAGTGAGTGAGTGAGTGAGTGAGTGAGTGAGTGAGGTCTGGCTCTTTATACGTCCCGCGCGGCCTTCGTGTACCTGTTGCCTTATTACTTAACGACCACAAATTCTCTTAGGAGTCGGTTTGCGAAACACTGAGGTTCACGAGCCCGTCTCTGGGCTCACGCGCGCACACACACACACACACACACACACACACACACACACACACACACACACACACACACACACACACACACACACACACACACACTTTTTTTAGTGTCAGAGTGGTTGACAAATGGAATGCATTAGGGGGTGATGTGGTGGAGGCTGACTCCATACACAGTTTCAAGTGTAGATATGACAGAGCCCGATAGGCTCAGGAATCTGTACACCTGTTGATTGACGGTTGAGAGGCGGGACCAAAGAGCCAGAGCTCAACCCCCGCAAACACAACTAGGTGAGTACACACACACACACCTTGTGGGGGCCTCGCGGCTGAGTGGATATCGCTCGGGGGTCATAATCGTAATGGCCCCGGGGTTAAATTCCTGACTGAGGCGGAAACAAATGGGCAATTGTTTGCCCATTTTGCCCAACCCATTAATTTTTCAAATTGCCACGACAGTTGCTGAGTTTCTTTTACCCTGATGCCTCTGTTCACCTAGCAGTAAATAAGTACCTGGTAATTTGCCTGCTTCTTGGGGATCCGTGTCTTAAGAGAGAAATAGTTATAGTAGACATAATAGAGGCAAAATAGATTGGTTAGAAAGGCGGGGTCCAAGAGCTCGATCCTGCAGACACAAATAATAAAATACTAATGGTAAATACACAGGTTTTTGTGCGAGGTAAATTGCTAGGCACCTGGAAATGAGTGCCAACTACCGCTCAAACATCAAGTGCCAACTACCGCTCAAACATCAAGCGCCAACTACCGCTCAAACATCAAGCGCCAACTACCGCTCAAACATCAAGCGCCAGCTACCGCTCAAACATCAAGCGCCAACTACTGCTCAAGCATCAAGCGCCAACTACCGCTCAAACATCAAGCGCCAACTACCGCTCAAACATCAAGCGCCAACTACCGCTCAAGCATCAAGCGCCAACTACCGCTCAAGCATCAAGCGCCAACTACTGCTCAAGCATCAAGCGCCAACTACCGCTCAAGCATCAAGCGCCAACTACCGCTCAAGCATCAAGCGCCAACTAGCGTGTTCACTAGACTCAGTGTTCACCAGACTCAATGTTCACCAGACACAGTGTTCACCAGACACAGTGTTCACCACACAGTGTTCACCAGACTCAGTGTTCACCAGACTCAATGTTCACCACACAGTGTTCACCAGACTCAGTGTTCACCACACAGTGTTCACCACTCAGTGTTCACCAGACTCAGTGTTCACCACACAGTGTTCACCAGACTCAGTGTTCACCAGACTCAGTGTTCACCAGACTTAGTGTTCACCAGACTCAGTGTTCACCAGACTCAGTGTTCACCACACAGTGTTCACCAGACTCAGTGTTCACCAGACTCAAGTGTTCACCAGACTCAGTGTTCACCAGACTCAAGTGTTCACCAGACTCAGTGTTCACCAGACTCAAGTGTTCACCAGACTCAGTGTTCACCAGACTCAATGTTCACCAGACTCAAGTGTTCACCAGACTCAGTGTTCACCAGACACAGTGTTCACCACTCAGTGTTCACCAGACTCAATGTTCACCACACAGTGTTCACCAGACTCAATGTTTACCAGACTCAGTGTTCACCAGACTCAATGTTCACCACACAGT